CGAGAATGTGACAATGAATCTTATCCACATAAATCATATATGATTGGATACATATAATCACATGTGATTATAGGTATTTAATCAGATATGATTTATGTAGACAATATATAAATTTGCGGTTTCGATTGAATAATTGATTTTGTGTATTTAATCACATGTGACTATATGTATATAATCACATATGATTTGAGGTGGAGAAGATTCATTTTTGCCTTGTCGATTCAATAGTTGTGATCATGTACTTAATCACATACAATAATACATATAATCACATGTGATAAAATACATGAGAACAACTATTGAATCGACAAAGCAAAAATGAATTGTGTCCACATAAATCATATATGATTAGATTCATATAATCACACGTGATTAGAGTTATTTAATCACATATAATTAATGTGGAAAAAGAAAAACTATTGAATCGAAAACACAAAATTTAATCTTGTGTACATAAATCATATGTGACTAAATGTAAAAGAATAACTATTTAACGATAATTTAAAAACGAATATTATCCATATAAATCATATGTGGTTAGATACATATAATCTCATGTAATTAAATACACAAGAACAACAACTGAATTGAGAACGCGAAAATGAATATTTTCCAAATAAATTTTATGTGATTAGATACATATAATCACATGTGATTATATTTATTTAATCACATATGATATATGTGGACAATATTTATCTTTGTGTTCTCGATTCAATAGTTGTTCTCGTATATATAATCATATGTGATTATATGTATCTAATCACATATGATTTATATTGGCATCATTCTTTTTTGTCCATATAAATCAGATGTGATTAGATACATATAATCACATGTGATTAGATGTATTTAATCACATAGGAAAAAAGTTGACAAAGAACAATTACTAAATCGAGAATGTGATAGTAAATCTTATCAACATAAATCATATGTGATTATATACATATAATCACATGTGATTATATGTATTTAATCATATATGATTTATGTAGACAATATTTATTTTTGCGGTTTCGATTAAATAATTGGTTTTGTGTGTTTAATCACATTTAATTATATTTATATATAATCACATATGATTTGAGGTGGACAAGATTTATTTTTGCCTTCTCGATGAGAAAGAAGATGCAACAATCGAAATGGTGGACAAACTATGGAGATGAGTGCTAGAAACTTCAACATCTAGCCATTTGTGTGTTAAGTCTCACTTGTAGTGCCACAGGATGTGATCGGAATCGGAGCACATTTAATCATTTACACTCCAAAAAGAGGAATCGTTTGGAGCAACAAAGGTTAAATGCTTTAGTTTTTGTGAAATCCAACATTAACCTTAATACAAGGCTTCAAAAGCGACGAGAAAGAGGTGAAACATACGATCCAATTTCTTTATCGGATATGGGTTCGGATGACGAATGGATTACCGAGAAGGAGGATGCATGTCTCCCGGAAGATATCTCATGGTGGATATTAACAAATGGTTTAAAGAGGATGAGGGGACTAGTTGCAACAAAAGAAAGAGAGATAACTATTCGTAGTATTACGATATACAAATCATATATATTTTTTACCATACTTTATAAAATACTCGGCATTTGTGTATACTTTTAATTCTTTTGTAGGACCAGGGAACCTTAACAAGGTGCCTATTGCTAGTGACAAAAGAAAAACGACACTTGTTGATAATGATATAGATGATGAGTTTGAAGTTGAGGAGGGAGATGAAATAGGACGCCATGAAACAACCGTTGTCTTAGATGGAGATGAAGACGATGTAGATGACGACTTTGAAGCTTGAAGACGATGCTGTGCTAATGGTTTTGGTGTTTTGCGATTTGCTTTATCACTATCTCGCTAGTTGTGTTATTTTTTGATAATATCTTCTATTTTGTATGATTTTTGCACAGGTGACATGTATATGGAGCAAATTATGAGTCAGACTCATAAGTCCTAACTAGCGAAGTTGTAATATTTTGGTAAATTGTCATTAATATTCAAACCATATTATATGTAAACATGTGTATTATGCTCCTTATTATAAAAAATATAAATAAATAAATATAAATATATAATCATGACTCTTACGATCGAGTCGAGTCGTAATAGGGGCGACAATAAGCAATAACAGCGACTCGATCGCCAAGGATACTTTGGGGGATAATATTATTCAATAGCAGCTACATATAGGCAATAATTACAACACCAATAGCAACGATACATCCGCAATAGCAACGACCAACATCAAGGACAAAGCAATAACTGAGACTTATTAAGAGCAACATCTTGTTGCTAAAGATTCACCACGAATCCCATTATCGTTAACTTTAAGGGGATGTTTGGCTTAGCTTTTCACAGCCCAAAAGTCCTTTTTGGAAAAGTTATAAAAAGTCTGGATTTCCTGACTTTTCCAAAAAGTTCCTTTTCCTCGTATAAAAACTCCAAAAATAGCTTTTAAAACTAGTTTTGACAAACATCTTTTGCTTTTTTTCTTTTCCAAAAAAGACTTTTGGGGTGTGAAAAGTTAAGCCAAACACCCCTAAGTAGATATCCCAAAGAGCACTATAAATGAGAAAAAGAAATGACGTCACAGCACTACCTAACCAACTACGTCTCCAACAAAGTCTATAAAGAGACACACACAGACAATCATAACTAAGTAAAATGACCCAAATTTGTCAATTTTTGTTTGTTTTTTCCCTATATTTTCTGTGTTTTTCTGTGGCAAGGAAGCATAACCAGATCACCAAACTCAACAAATTGACCGAGTCAAGAAGATCAGAGAATCCGCCAGCTGGGGAACCGTGGACAGAACAAGATATTTCAAACTTCTCTCCTGTACTTCGTATTGCACCTCAACAAGGATCAAAGGAAGAAGATAGGGTTGACAGGCTGCCAGGTCAACCACAAGTGGACTTTGATCATTTTGCAGGCTATATAACAGTCGATTTACAGGCTGGAAGGGCATTGTTCTATTACTTTGTTGAATCACCTCACAATTCATCAACCAAACCTCTACTCCTATGGCTCAATGGAGGTAATGCGTTTTTTGTTTCATTCTACCACTAAAATGGACCCATGAGTAAATATAAGATTACATGTTGTCGTTATCAAATTTTGAAATCAATGGCAATTGAACTTTAACTTTTTGTTCCACAAAAAAAAGATGGTATTAAACTAATGCTGGCACTAAACTAATGCTTGCATGCGTGAATACCTTTTATTTTCATCTTTGAATATTATGATAAATCATCAATATTTACATGTGTTGAGATTGACCACTAGTAATGAAGGTATTGTACAGGGCCAGGATGCTCGTCGTTTGGATATGGAGCCATGGAAGAACTTGGGCCCTTCCGTGTCAACAGTGATGGAAAAACACTCTACCGCAACCACTATGCATGGAACAATGGTAACAAAAACTCCTTTAAAACCTTCATATTCGTGTTTCCAAAATTACAATGTAAAACACTAATTCTTGAAAAATTACAGTGGCCAATGTACTATTCTTGGAGTCGCCAGCTGGAGTGGGATTCTCGTATTCAAACAGATCATCTGACTACACGACAGGCGATAACCAGACAGCTAAAGATTCTTACACTTTTCTAGTCAACTGGCTTGAAAGATTCCCTGAATACAAAACCAGAGATTTCTTTATTGCAGGTGAAAGCTATGCTGGTCACTATGTACCTCAACTCGCATCCCTCATTCACTTGGAAAACAAGAAAACAAACCAAACGATTATTAATCTTCACGGGATTGCAGTAAGTACTTTTCATACATGGGATTGCACATGGCATAACACAGGACTAGCTCGTTTGTGCAAAAGTCGTATTTGCCCTCCTCATCATGAAAAAAATCCATAAAGACGTGTACAAGGATCATATCCTGTATGTGATAAATGGGTATACTTTTTTGTTTTGTAGATTGGGAATGCTTGGTTAGAGGACAGTACAACTATTCAAGGGATGCTAGACTACTTATGGACACATGCCCTAATGTCCGATGAGACATATGCAGGAATTAAAAGGTACTGTGACTATGTTTCTGGAAATTTTCCAGAAAAGTGCTATCAGTATGTAAGCCAAGGACTAAGCGAAGTTGGTAAAATTGATATATACAACATCTATGCACCACTATGTGATGGAACTAGAAAAACACTTCAATCTACTGGATCTGTAAGTCTCTGAATTCATTAAACAAATATATATAGCATCCAACTTTCAAAACTAGATAAATGTATCCTGCGATATTAATTAATTGAACTATCTTTTTAAGAGATTATGTATTGAACCAGGTCAAGAACTTTGATCCTTGCTCTAGTCGTTATGTGTCTTCATATCTGAATCGAGCAAAAGTGCAAGAAGCTCTTCATGCCCGAAATACATCATGGTCACATTGCAGGTACCTCTTTTCTTATAAATACCTCGTGGCCAATATAAAAAGGCTGACTGTTTATTTTCTTATGAGCAGCGATTATGAATGGACAGATAGCCCAACGACTGTTTTGCCTACTATCAATCAGCTAATTGCATATGGTATTAGAGTCTGGATATTCAGGTCAGTCCACCCAATTATTTTTTTTTTAAATTATCTCTTTTACTTAAAGGAGAGATATGACATTGTTGGCGCAATTCAAAGTAAGCTTGAAAGTTAAGCAGTAAAGTTCTGCTCCTCTCTTTTTCATATTCTTTCTCTGTACATTTTTTTCTTCCTGTTAATTCATAACAGAGGATTAAAGAGACTAAACTATCATTGTTTAAAAGGCTAAACCAATATTTGGTATTAGAACGAATCTGGTGCGATGTCAAACAAAGAAGGATCGGTTACTCTTGAATACCCAATGCTGTCTAAGACCAATTATGCAGCATGGTCTATTAAGATGAAGATTTATATGCAAGCTCAAGAGGTGTGGGAAGCCATGCATAGAGCCGAAGAACCCACAAAATCCGATGGGTGTGAAGAGAGACAAGATGGCAATGGCTTCCATCTACCAAGCGATTCCGGAGGAGGTTCTGTTACGACAGCAGAGAAGCAATCGGCGAAAGAAGCTTAGGAACACTAAAGACGATGTACTTGGGAGCAGATCGAGTCAAAACAGCCAAAGTTCAAACTCTCAAAGCCGAATTTGAAATGATGAACATGAGTGAATCAAAGACCATGGACGGCTTTTCTGCAAAGATCAGAGGTATTGTGAGCAATATCCGTGTTCTTGGTGAGACCGTTGAAGAATCTTATATTGTGAAAAAGATGTTAGGTGTCGTACCCTCCAAATTCGTTGAACTTGCTTCAACAATTGAACAATTTGGACGAGATGACTTTTGAAGTAGTGGTTAGAAAATTAAAAGCTCGTGAGAAGAAAAGCAACATCTCATGAAAAGAAAAGCAACGAAGATGATTCAAAACACGGATGACACTTTAACTGTTTTTAAGAAATTTAGAACACAAATTGAAGTTGAAACATGTTTAAAATCAAAAGTATTTTGAACCGATCATGGCGGTGAATTTTTATCAACACAATTCACTACATATGGTGATGAAACCGCATTGAAACACCACTATACAACACCTCATTCACCACAACAAAACAACGTTTTAAAAAGACACAACGAAATAGTAGTAGAGATTGTGAGAAGCAATCTAAAAGGGATCAACGTTCCAGAAGTCCTATGGGGTGAAGTCGTACGTCACTCAGTCTACATCATAAATCGAATAACCATAAAAGCATTGAAAGAGTCAACACCTTACGAGCTATATACTGTTCGGAAGCTAAACATTGATCGTGCGAGAGTTTTTGGGGGTGTTGGTTACGCAAAAATAGTAGGCATATATCTAAAAACTCTATTATAGAAGTAAGAAGCTAGTACACTTGGGAGTCGATAAAGGTACAAAAGGTTATCGACTACTTGATCCGAAAAATGGAGCAATTCGAGTGGGAAGAGATGTGATTTTCAAAGGAGATGCTAAGTGGCAGTGGGGACCTACAAAAAAGTTCAAATCCATTCAAATGGAATATTCACCTTTGATATCATGCTTGATATCGAAGCTGAACAGGAAGAAGATATCCATCCAAATTATCACCACAAGGTAGCCCGGTTACACCTCCGTCATCAACTTGATAGTTCATTCGAAATTAAAGCTCCACAAAGATATCGTAGGCTATTTTTTTTATGAAGAAGTGATAATTTATGTTTCTGCAAGATGAAGAAGAACCGCTAAATTTCACAAGTGCAAGTGAAAGTGAAGATTAGATGGAAAGTATGAAAAGTGAGCTAAGTGCAATTGAGAAAATTAAAACATGGACTCTAGTCGATAAAAATAAAACCATTGGCCTTAAATGGGTATACAAAATAAAAAGCTATATCCAGACGAAATCTTTTTGATGTATAAAGAAAGGTTGGTTGCAAAAGGATACGTGCAAAAACAAGGAGTACATTTTGATCAAGTGTTTGTACCTGTAGCTTGGATAGAAACCATATGTATCATTCTTGCATTTGCAACCACAAACAGGTGGTTGATACATCATCTAGATGTAAAATTATCCTTTTTATATGGGAATTTGGTAGATGAAGTTTATGTCACACAATCAAGATGCTTCATAAAGAAAGACAAGCCAAAACAAGTGTACAAATTGGCAAAAGTATTATACAGGTTACACCAAGCTCCACGACACATGAACTTCTTGCCTAGAGAAGTATCTAAAGGGAATTGGTTTTGAAAGATGTCCACTCGAGTATGCTTTTTACACAAGGAAAATGGATGGAACCATATTAATAGTCAGTGTCTATGTCCTGATCTCATCGTTACAAGGGCTCACAATGACAAAGGAAAAAGTTTCAAACAACAAATGAGCAAGGAGTTTGAAATGAGCGACATTGAGATGTTATCCTATTATCTAGGCATCGAAGTACACCAACACAATGAAGGTCTTGCACTGAAACAATCAACCTATGCAACAAGAGTACTCAAGAAAGTTTGAATGTTCGACCGCAATCCATGTAGGTATCCCAGGGAACCAAAGTTATAGCGAACTAAAGACGAAGAAAGTGAACTTGTGGATCCTACCTCATACCAAAGCATTGTTGTAGTCCTTAGATACATTACAAACATTGACCGAATATACCTCATTCGGTAGGAATCATGAGTCGATTCATGGAAGGCCAACTAAGCAACATCAACAAGCTGTAAAACATATACTAAGGTATATCAAAGGAACTTCATGGCTTGAAATACACGAAGAATGAAAACGAGGTACATTGACGGTGATCTAGCAAAAGATGTTGATAGACAAAGTACTATTGGAATGACATTCTGCTTAAATGAGAACATTGTCACTTAGAACTCATAAAAACAGAAGTGCGTTATATTATCTTTGTGCAAAGCGAAGTTCATCGCAACAACAAGTACAACATGTCAAGAGATATGGTTTTCTCGATTAATGGGTATGATAATAAAGAGTAAGTCCAATCGTGCTACATGTGGACAACAAATCAGCTTTGGATTTGATGAAAAATCCAGTGTTCCATGGAAGGAGTAAGCACATTGACACTCGTTTTCACTTTATTCATGAGTGTGTTAAAAAAGGTGATGTAGTTGTAAGACATGTTGGCAAAAATGAACAAATAGCTGATATCTTGACAAAATTAATGGGAAGAGTCAAGTCTGAAAGCATGAGAAAGTTGGTTGGAGTTGAAAATATAAGAGTTTCTGAATTACATGGGAGAATATAGGTATAACTCAAAATAAGCTTGAAAGTTAAGTAGTAATGTTCTTCCCCTCTCTTTTTCATATTCCTTCCCAGTATGTTTTTTTTTCTCCCAGCATGTACTTTTTCTTCCTGTTACTCTTTTTTTTCCTATTAATTCATAATTGAGGATTAAAGAGATTAAACTATCATTGTTTAAAATGCTAAACCAATAGACTTAGTCTGGTAAGTGATATGCGGGTGTTATATTTTAAACTTGGCGTACTAGCTGAAAAGGTAGTGTGAGCTGAAAAGCTAATCGATAACTGAAAAACTAATTGGTAGCTTATAAGCCGATAGAAAAATGACATTGGTAAAAACTAACTGATAAGCTAGCTAGAATATATAAAATGACATAAAGGGACATTTAGGATTATTTTCTAAATGAGTTTCCTATAATTAATTAAGGGTATATTTGAATTATTTAATAAAAAATTCTAAAAATCTAATCTAAATAGTTTTTTAAAAGGTTAACTTATAAGCTAATTTTTGGCTTGTCAAACATGAAAGTTTAAAAAAGCTCCAAAAAAAACTAGCTTATCAGGTAGTTGTGATGAGTTAAACATAAACTTAATGGGAAAAAAAATCAAACAAACGGAAGTTTTCCCACATCGTACCTTTCTCAAATATTTTTTGAAACATCGTATATCCAAACAATGCTTTAACTTGTGAGTCCTCGAAAACATTTAATAGGAAGTCAAAATCTTTTGTGGGAGCTTTTTCATTCCAAATATTATTTGCATTCCTTGTAAAGTTACAAGCTAAATGAGTAGAGTTTTTTCATATATTTAATATTATTTTATTCATTTGCTTAAAAGCATCCACAATAGGAGCTCATTCGAGAGTTATTTTAGTGAAATCAGTTTACCAAAATCAAAAAAGCTATTGTGAGAACTTTTTGATCCCAAAACCTTTTTACTTTGGCTGAAAATTTAAAAGCTTTTACAATTCCAATTTTATTAAATTCATTTGCATAACTTTTTTTTTAGTAGGGCCCATAAATAAGCTGTATACGAAAAAAAATTACAATAGCATAGATATATTAAAATTTTCATTTATTAAGTTGGCAAAAAAATTAGTGAAAAAACTTTGAAAAAATTTTTTTTTTTTTAATGTAGATGATCTAATTGATATTGATAGCACCCAAAAAATATTTGTTAAAAAGATTACTTATTGTGGACATTTATCTAAGCATTGAGGTTTATTAATGTGGTGATGATGTGTTTATTGTACTTATAAAAGTACCTAACAAGTTACACCTCATTCATGCATAATTGGCAGTGGTGACACTGATGGAATGATCCCAGTAACATCCTCAAAGTACTCCGTGAATAAGTTAAAGCTTCCGATAGAGTCTGCTTGGAGACCGTGGTACTATAATGGAGAGGTAACAATATTTGAAACATTAATCGCATTGAATAACAATGTAGGAATAGCAAAATTTAAATTTAAAATGTTGATGTTAAAAATGTAATAGGTGGGAGGATATGTGGTAGGTTACAAAGGAATTATACTTACCACAGTAAGAGGCGCAGGGCATGCAGTCCCTAGCTACCAGCCAGAAAGAGCATTGCTCTTGATTTCATCATTCCTTCATGGTAAATTGCCACCATCTTTGACTGGATAATCATCATTAACCATTTTCCGGATGAAAAAAGACAAGTTATAAGCAAGTGGTATCCAATCGTATTGGGAATATAACAAGCTTATTTAGAGCATGCAAAGTTTATATACAATAACAAATATGTCTCTTTAATCATTTTCTAAGGCTTTAAAATAATGAAAATGGAAGGAAATTTGTCAATTCAATCGAACCTTCAGAGCCAACCTATTTTCCTTTCATTGCAATGAAATTAGCCATTCTATTCCTTCCCTAATCCCTACTGGAAAATTGATTTTAACCAATTTCCAAAAATTAGGGTGTTCCCAATTTTAGGCATGAATTTTGAACCCTAACTGTTATCAAACTGGAAAAATGTTTATATGCTTGTATTTTCATCTATGATACCTTCGTTTTCATATATCACACATTCAAAATGGATTTAAGACGAATGATAAATTATATGTTAAAGTGAGGTGTTTGGAAGAAATTAACAAAGTGGTTCAGTGAGTTTTATTTCATCCAAGATGGATGAGAGTTTAAAGAGGAAATTAGTTTATAACATCAAAGGTTTCTTAACCTTTAATTAAGTTAAATAACGCAAAGGCTCTCTCTTGTGTACGAGGGGGGCAGGTTACAAATGAAAAACCAAATTGGCTTGGGGTCACTAAACTTATGTGTGAGCGCGTAACCATTAACTCTAAACCCAATAACGAGTGAATTCCTTTTAATAGAACTATGTTAAAGATAAGCCACATCAACAATTTTATTTTTTTCTTCGTTCGTATATTTTTCTAACAATTTCTTTGTACCATATACTACCTAATAAATTTGAAACATGGCAAAGATATAAAGTTCACATTTGATAAAGTATATGAAAAAAAAGCTCCAACATATACCTTTTGGAAATAATTTCACTAGTACAAAAATGGCTTTTGCAGACGCAAGCAAAAAAAAAATAAAGACGCATCACATGATTGTCGATAAGTTATGGTGTCTTTTAGTTGTAGTGACTATAACCCATGAAAACCCGTTTTTATAGTTAAAACTCGTCACTATATGGTTGAGATATTTACATTTGTATCAATCATATTTTTTATAACTGTCACCGATAATACAAAATTAGTCACTCATTTATTTTTACTATGACTACTGTATATTTTTTACTAACGAGTATATTCTTATATTATTACTATTGTGTGCATTTACACTACAAAAATAACCGGCAATAGCAGCGACGCCTTTAGAGGCGACGGGGACTTTTAGCGGCGACAAAAAACAAACGCGTTTTTTGTCGCCGCT